GCCTCCACAGCTGGAGAACCTCATGCTGGACAAGGACGGCCACGTCAAGATCACCGACTTCGGGCTGTGCAAGGAGGGCATCAAGGATGGGGCCACCATGAAGACCTTCTGCGGGACGCCCGAGTACCTGGCCCCAGAGGTGCGCTGCCGGGGCCCCCTCCCTTTAATCTTGAGGCTCGGGGGCACCCCCAGGCCCTCTGTCCTCCTGAGCCGCACGCGTCCTGCTTCCTCGTGTGCCCTCTGCCACCTTGCTCCCCCAAGCCCGAGGCCCGCACAATCTGATGCCCGCGTTCCCCGTGGCCGCCCTGCCCCGTGCCCCATCTGCCCTCCCTGCCCCCGAGTCCACCCACGTCCGGGATCTATGGCCCCAGGTGCTGGAGGACAACGACTACGGCCGGGCCGTGGACTGGTGGGGGCTGGGCGTGGTCATGTACGAGATGCTGTGCGGCCGCCTGCCCTTCTACAACCAGGACCACGAGCGCCTCTTCGAGCTCATCCTCATGGAGGAGATCCGCTTCCCGCGCACGCTCAGCCCCGAGGCCGAGTCCCTGCTGGCGGGGCTGCTCAAGAAGGACCCCAAGCAGAGGTGAGCTGGCCGGCCGCCCCGGGCGGAGGGGGCGCTCCGGGCAGCTGGCCAGCCCCGGCCGCGTGTTACGTGCTGCCTCAGAGCCGGGCCAGGCAGCGGGCCACAGGCTGGGGCCAGAGGGGTCCCCAGCGTCCCCAGCTGTCATTCCTGCTGAGGAAGCGCTGCCCAGAGAGGTGCGCCGGCCCCCGCTGCCCGGCGTTGCTGTCCACGGCACTCAGGGCAGGCAGCACACGGTGACGGCCTGTGTCGCCCCCAGGCTGGGAGGGGGCTCGGAGGACGCCAAGGAGATCATGCAGCACCGCTTCTTCGCCAGCATCGTGTGGCAGGACGTGTATGAGAAAAAGGTGCCAGGTTGCCGCCCCGCCCAGCGCCCCGGCCCCGCCCTCCCAGGCCTGACCCAGTTTGCGGTGCTGTGGCCCTGCCTGGAGGGCTCCCCACACCCCTAGAGGCTGCGTGGAGGCTGGTGGGTGGGGACACTGCCCATCCCAGTGCCTCCTGCGGCGGGCAGCACCCAGACCTGCTCTCTGGGTGTGTCCGGGGGGCAGGGTGGGGGTGGGGGCTTTGCCAGAAGGGCCCTGCACATGTTCCTCTCCTCTGACCTCTGGGGACCAGGAGCCCCATGCCCTGGCTAGGCCAGCAGGTGCTGCTCGCTTAGCTGGGGAAGGTGGCCTGATCGTGCTGGGCACTACAGGCTCACCCCCACCGGGTCTCCAGCCCACCTCCCCCGCAGGACAGGCACCCACCCCAGGGCCCTGCCCTGAGGCCTGCTGCCTCCTGGCCTGCCCTCAAGGGCTCCACATGCCCAGCCTTGACCCCAGGGCCCCCGACTCACCCGGCTAGGGCCTGGGTCCCAGGGTGCAGCCTGTAGGACCTTCCCCATGGGCAGCTTGTCTGCGGCCACACTGTGCTGTCTGAGCCTCTGGGGGCCTGAGCTCAGGGCCCATCCAGGCTGCCCAGCTGTGCCCTGCAGGAGTGCTCGTGGGGCTGGGGGGCACTGGTGCCAGAGGCTCACATTGGCAGCTGCTCCGGCAGGGGGTGGGGGTGGGGCGCAGCACCGCCCCTCCCGCCTGGCCCCTGCTCCCTGAGACTGCGGGCGGGAGGCGGGTTGGGACAGGAGGGGAGGGGCTGGGAGGACGGTGCTTCATGGTCCCAGGGCCCAGAGGCCCTCCGCAGGGCTGGGTGGGGCTGGGTGCTGGGCCGGGCCCTGGCCTGCGCACCTCCCTCCCTGGCTGCCGCCTCCTTTCCACTCGCTTTGTGAAGAAAACTGGGAAAGCCAGACGGGCCGCTCGCCCCTGCGGCCCACACGCACAGCATCCGGAGGGTGCAGTGGCCCCTGGACAGTGTACTGGGAGGGGCGCTGGGCAGTGCAGACGGAGGCCCTGACCCTCCTCTCCCCGCAGCTCAGCCCCCCCTTCAAGCCTCAGGTCACCTCGGAGACGGACACCAGGTATTTCGATGAGGAGTTCACGGCCCAGATGATCACCATCACGCCGCCTGACCAAGGTGGGGCCACCGTGGCGCCAGCTTTTGCAGCCTACCCTGGGCGTGGGGGCGCTGTCCGGGGCTCGGAGGGGCGGCGGGAGCCCCGTGGGGCGCTGCTCCAGGCGCCCAGCGGCGACGGCCCTGCCCGTGTCCCCGCAGACGACAGCATGGAGTGCGCAGACAGCGAGCGCCGGCCCCACTTCCCCCAGTTCTCCTACTCGGCCAGCGGCACGGCCTGAGCCCGCGGGCACGCGCCGAGCGTCGTTCAGCCCGGCCGCGGCGCCAGGCCGGCCGCCGCTCAGCATGGACACGGACACCTTTCAGGCCGCACCGCCAGGTCGGGAGATGACCCTGCAGGTTTCTTAATTTATTTCATCCAGTTAGTTCTCCGGACCTAGCCTGGGTCCGAGCGGTGTGGCCGGGAGAGCCTGGGGCTCCATCACGCGCGGGAGCCCCCCAACGACCAGGCACTGTCCCCCCAGCGCTGCACCCCGCCCGCCCGCCCGGCTCCGCTGTGCTGCACGCAGCGGTTTTTTACAACAGTCGACTTATTTTTACTATTATATGAAACTTTCCCTCCAAAGTCTTCAATAAAAGTTGCTTTTCAACCTTGTGGCTGTTTGCCGGGTGGCAGGTAAAGGCGGGGCGGGGGCGTGCAGGGGAGCCGCTGGCCTGGCAGACCCAAGGCCCCAGGGAAGGCCCCTGAGCGGTGTCTCCCCAGCTCTGGGGGGATTGGGGCAGCCGTGTGTGTGTTTTGGGGGGCCCCACAGCCCAGCGTGTGCGTGTGTGTTGGGGGGGCCCATAGCTCAGCGTGTGTGTGTGTTGGGGGGCCCCACAGCCCAGCGTGTGTGTTTTGGGGGCCCACAGCCCAGCATGTGTGTTTTGGGGGACCCCACAGCCCAGCGTGTGTGTGTTTTGGGGGCCCACAGCCCAGCATGTGCGTGTGTGTTTTGGGGGCCCCTCGGTCAGCGTGTGTTTTGGGGGCCCACCGCCCAGCATGTGCGTGTGTGTTTTGGGGGCCCACAGCCCAGCGTGTGTGTTTTGGGGGACCCCACAGCCCAGCGTGTGTGTGTTTTGGGGGCCCACAGCCCAGCAT